ACGCGTGCTGGTGGAATGTGGATTCTGGACCTACTCGGGCGGGTATTTGTTTAGTCTGGACTCTGGACTATTACATTACAGACCGACACAAAGATAACTTCTCCGACGAAATAGAGTGAAGTTGATCTTCCTTCTTTTTTTTTTTTTTTTTTTTTGACTTTCTTAATGAGCTTCAGAGCTTTCTGCTATCTCGATCTCCTAGTAGTCGGGAGGAGGCACGGATTGGAGGATGGAACATCAGCTCACCAGAAATTACCTATTATATATCAAGCTTAAACAAATCTTCACCGCCAAAGCTCTCCACATTTTACTTGTCATTGTCTTGGACGTCTGACTACAGGACGCCAATGTCCACACAAAGATTGTGTCAATTTAACTACTCCCTTATCATCTCTCAAGTCTTCTTTAAAAAAAAAAAAAAAAAAAAGCTTTATCATCTCTTAAATCTAGTCCCCCTACATACATCATAATTTGTAGGTGCAATGAAGTGCAAGAAGCCAAGTACATGTGACTCATAACGACATGGACCTTCCAAAAAGATTGAGTTATGTTACTTCTTTAAACCTAACTCAATTAAGAACTCAATATCAGCACCAGTAATACATTATGTTGAGTCCCTCGCAGAGGTACTGTTACTACTTGAAGGAGATCCATTCTGTGACAGTCTTCTCACCACTCCTTTCCCTTCTCCCGGTTCTTTACCCAAGTTGCTGTAAATCATTGTTCTCAGTAATATAGGATTCCTCCAAAATTAGTACCACGGATTGAATTGAACACACGTAATGCCAAGTTCTATCATCTGTAATCATGTTCTCCCAGTCTCCTCACTATAGGCACAAGGCATAATTTCAAAATGCAAGAATTACAGGAAATCAAACCAGTCAGATGTTTCTTTTTTTCAAAAAATGGGGAAAGGGAAAAAATAGGCAAGAATAAAAAGATGTGAGCAGGGTGGGTAAGGCAACAAAAGGGTCTACCTAAAGAACGGTAGATGGCTCTATGAGAGGAGGAAGGTTGCAGGGAATCTTAGGGAAAGTTGATGCCTCTATCGGGCAAAGCTTATGCAGGAATTCTGTAAGACTGATATGAGAGGGCTTTGAGCCTTAGCTAAATCACGTAGAAAGAGAGAAAACTCGAAACTTTCCCCAGACAGGAAAGTTTGCTATTTTGTTAGATCTGAAACAAGCAAGCAAAGTTGGGTTTGCCCTTTTCCTCGAGATCCACACATAAGCACGAGTGCAGTTATTGCTCCCTTCTAGAAGCATGCTTGAGTGTGCCTTAAAAGTTTTCTGGAAATGTCTAAGTATCAGTTTGTCATCACAAATCAAATGGGGACGGATTATGCTGTTGTGATGTTACGGCGCAACACCAAGGCAGAATGTCATCATAGCACACGAGATGGCTGTAATGTTGTATCAGACCATTGGACGAGACTGATGATGAGGTTCTTAAGCTAAAGTTAGCACCCTTTGTGCAGAAATGACAATTCATTGTTTCATGTCATGGGTGTACGTGTCTACTGCAATTCGAGGGTTGTTGCGATATGAACATATCATGGTCATATGTTTGTATGTCCTCCATGGCAATTCCCCTAATGCCTATCAATATACTTACAAAAGGAAAAAGGAAAAATGTTACTCATGGCAAGATAAAATTTACATGCGTTTTTCTGAAATTTTAACCAGCCTTCGTTGCTTCTTTATGGCTATTGAGTTAAAATAAGGTAGAATGAAGGAAATGAAAGAATAAGAAAGGAACATGGGGAAGCTGCAAAGTTCAATTTCCCACATCTGCCAACTATTGATTCTACATCCAAGGAGAATGAAATAGGAAATAACAATGGAAAACTATTGCGAAAATGTACAGTTACATGAAAAAATACTACACTTATGACAAATTGGCAATGCCACCAAAGATTGGAATAACCTCACTATTTAATATTTTTGTAATAATGGATGTGCAATTCATCCATGCCAGGATGGTGAAAGGGTGGGGTGATAGAAGTTGTCTATTTGCCTTGGGTTTGAGAAGCCATGCCAATAAGAGTGCCTTATTACCTTTCTTATTCTTTTTAATATATTGTTCTAATTGAAACAATGAAAGGAATTAAGAAATAGCGATATAAGAGAAGATACAGAGAAAATAAGGGAGCATAAATGGCATTAATGGGCTACCCATACCACAAGGTAAAAGAATTAAGGAAACATCATTACTGTTGCACCAAAAACTTGTATAAGGCAGGGCAACAACCCCTCAAATCTTAGGTCAAACTGTTTTTTTTTTTTTTTTTTGATAAATAATCTTAAGTCAAACTGTTAATAGTTTGAACCGTTAAAACTTCTCAATGATATGGATGGAAACAAAGATAATGTCCAATAGGCTTCAACATGAAGTTTGTCAAAGATAATCTGCACTTGAATACAATATCATGAACGTTTCTGTTTAGTTTCATGAAAGAATTAGATGGGATCTTGCTTCAAAGTTCTAACATAGTTTCCTCTCTCTGATTCTGAAAATGGCAGGTGTTATGGAATTCAGACTTCCAGGCAATTAGTATTTTGTCCAGTATGGCTCAAATGGGTTTCAGGGCCAAAAGGAGGAAATGCATTCATTCTTGTGTCTCTAAAGTTTCCTTTTTGTGATCTTTAATGGCACTTTAATGAAATTTTCAAGAAGTGGGACCATACAGCAGTAAAAGATGTATGGACCCTAAGATCTCATCTCTGGTTTTTATGATGAAAGAGGATGCTTCTCTCAATTCCCACCTTCAATATGTGGGGACACTTCAATGTTATTGGATCTTTTACTTCTTTAGGTATTTGACCTTATAGCAATCCTTCGTTATATATTAACCTCCAGAAGAGCATCTTTCTTGGGGTTAGGAATTTTGATAGTAAAATAAAAATGTTTATTAAAAGAAAAGGTATATGAGCAGTATACAGGCTTTGTGGCCAAAGCAACCAACATAACAACACATATGAAACCACAAATCAAAAACCAAAAATATTGAATAAGACCCCAAAACAACTCAAGTCTTTTTCCAACTTAAAATGCCCTTTTCAATTGAACTATTCAAATCTATCTCCCTTAACAATCAGGAAATGCCACCCCTAAAATGCATTCTAAGGAAACTCAGGACCCCTACTAATATATCTTAAGAAGTCGTGTTATGAACTAAAGAAACTACATCAGGAAAGCATAACAATATCCCCTAACTTCCACAGACAACTAAAACAACAACCTGCCCACTTACCTGACAAGAAAAAAAAACATCTTCAACTCCTAAAGGAAACCAAACCAAAAATATCTTAGTCTGCCATTTCATCCACACAATCTGAAAACTCCTGATCAGATAAAAAACTAGATTCCTCAGCAAAGTTTTCAGGTTTGTTAACTCTCTCCATAACTTTAACTTCCATAAACATTTTTCTAACAAATTGCTCTCCACCCAAAAAGAATAAACCAAAACTTCTTTTCACTTAAACTTCCTTACCAACAACCCTCTCAATATCCAATTTCTTAGCCAGATGAACCTCATCAATCTGTAAAACAGAACTGAGAAAAAAGATATTATAAATTTGCCACTATCGTAAGAAAACACCAACCCCTAAACAACTGTTGTAGATAAGGAAGCAACAAAAGAATCCATGGCAAATAATTAGTTCGATTCCGACACCAATTTCAGAATTTTAGGGTGATAGGATATTGGTATTGTTTGAGTTTTATTTTTAATTTACTCTCTAGCTGTGTAGGTGTTTTAAGATTAGGGTTTCAAGTTTTCTATTATTTTGATATTACTATTTATGATAACTTTCAGAGTTAATACTCATAATTACTATTTATAGTAAAATCATGAGTTTCTATTTTAATAATCTTTGGTATCTTCACATAGTTTCTTGTAGTATTAGCAATGAGTTATTAGAGTTATTTCAGGAGTTAAGTCCTTATCTTAGTTCTAAAGCAATTAGAAGTTGTGGATCATACTTTTAGTCTAAAATCAAGACTATAAATAATATCTGAGTTAATATATTGAGTCCATAAATAGAACCATTATAATTGAAAAGAGGACTAATTTGATTTGGTTTAATGAATTCTGGTTGCTAGTTAATTTTATCTTTTTCCCTCTCTCTCTCTCTCACTTGTATCTTCTTTTGAGTGACCTATCTCATCACTATAACAGCAATAGTTATTCTCTTTCTGGTTTCTTGCTCATTCTTTGGTGGCAGCAAGCCATCTACTTGCTTCTCTATCCCTATCCTTCGTTCTTATTCCTTAATCACCCAAAGCCCCTCCACCCCACAATACCCACCACCAAATTTGAATTTGTAAGGACCTTAAGTAATAAAAATATATTAAAGCTCAGAAAATTCCAACTCTGACCAGTATTGCATGAACACTAACATGGGAATTGGAATTTGATGCATTGCCAAGAGTCAGACTCAACATGATGAGAAAAGATGGACTCACAGACATGTTTATGGAAATGTACACTATTAAAATATTTCATTTTTCATCAAAACATTGTATACCTGCAAAATGGGGTATAAAATGTTGCCTTTGTTACCAAGTAACTTTTGGATATGAAAAATGGCATTCATTTTATAAATTAGCTATTCATTTATGTCAAATAATCTAGGAGATAAAAGGGAAATTTTACATAGAAGTGTCCTAAGAACCTGTGGAGTGTCAGACTGTGACACATAACACATGTCCAATATGAACACATCATCCATTTAGTAGAGTCCATGTATCACCTTCTAAAAGTTATTTTCTCCTTACCCTTCTGCAACCCCTTCATTCCTTTCTCCCCTTTTTCATCTTTTGATTAGCCTTGGGGGAAACAACTCTGATTAACCACTAATAAGGATAGATAAACAAACAAAAGACACCATCTTTCCATTCATCCACCTTCTCCATCTCTATTCAGAACCTAACTTTTTTTTCAAAGGTAAAGTAATAATTATTGAATCAGAAAATAACTCAGTACAACAAAAGAGCCAGCCACAAGTAGCTGCTCAGATTTTAGGACAAGTTACAGATCCCAGATCGAAGTGGACTTAACTAATACAGGAACATTATTCAAAACCTAACTTTTCCAAAATGAAAATCAAAGAATCCCCAATTGGCATGATTTTATGCTCTTTCCAAAGCTATACTTTTTACCTGCTACCACTTTTGCTAGAGTTTTTATATTCTCTACTACGTAATCAACAATCAAAATTTGATCCAGAGTCTGCTAGCTTTTTATGAATGAACTTTGCAATGGAGAAGCAATGTGATAAAGGGCATCTGTTATTTTGGCAAAAAAAAGGACAATAATTCATTAAACTAACTTCAATTTACATCACCATACTGTGTTAGGCCCAAAAAAACTAATCCCTTAACCTGCTTGGTGGACAATTTTTTATCACCACATTTCCTTCCTGTCTCATTTTACTTGCTACCATATTACTAGGCTTCTTTTTTTTTTTTTTGATATCTTATATATATCAAAAAGCATTTCCACCCAACTCCCTCATTTTTGGGTTGTTCTACCTTTCTCCATTCTATAGTTCAAAGTCCCTTTCTTCTTGCTTTTCCTTTCCACCAAAATTGGTTTTTTTTCAATCTCCAATTCTTTTAAAATTTTAACCAGAAGCAAGATTGTTTGCTATTGATACATAGGAATAGCTTAAACTACAGATTGAATTGGTGTTGTTCTTCCAGCTTGTGACAGTGTTTTGACTTGCTATGCTTCAATCCTCTGCTTAACTCTTTCTACTACCTCTTCATACTCCCTCCATTTATTTTTCCCGCCCAAAGTTTAGAACCTAAATATTTATCATTTAGGCTCCTTTGCTTCAGTCCCATAAGATGCCAAAGATATCTTTGATGTCTTCTATATGTGTTGTCCTTCCATCTCCTCAAAAATTCCATGATTCCTTTAAACATTTGCAATTGAGAGGGCTCTGCTTTGCAGAAGAGGGAACATTCATCAGCAAAGAAGAGATGTATCATTGAAGGAGCACCTTTGCAATTTTTTATTCCTTCTATGGAGCCTTCTTCTTTAGCTTTTTGTAGCATTGATGTTAAAACCTGCATGCCAAAGATGAACAAGTATGTAGATAAGGGGCCTCCCTGTCTAAGCCTTTTCTTTGTTTCAAAGAAACGTGTAGTGGTTACAATAATATAGAATAGGTGGCAGTTGTAAGGCATTGAGAAAGCATTTGGATCCAAAGAGGAGGAAAGCCCATGATTTCCAAAACTTTTAGAATGAGCTTCCAGTTCATTCTATCAAAAGATTTGCCTTATCAATTTTGATGGCCACCCAGCCTCTTTTTCCTTTATTTTCTTCACTGAGTGAATTATTTATTTGGCTAAGATTATGTCGATAGTAATTATCTCCCTTGCACAAATCCATCTTGATTTGAAGCAATTAGAATAGACAATAGCTGCTTGAATCTATTTCCTAAGAACTTAACAATAATTTTATAACAAACATTACACAGCCCAATTGGTTGGAATTGAAATGGGCTTTTCAGGTCCAACAAGTATGGGTATGAATATTAGATTTATGTGATTTATTTCTATTATAAAACTCCAATTACTAAACAATTTTTGGATTATTTGAGTTTCTTCATTTTCCACTACATCCCAACATTTTTGATAAAATAATGTAGTGAATCCACCTGGCCTAGGAGCTTGGTCCCAATTGGAAAACCACCTCCTTAACTTCTAATGACCATCTCAGTAGATCTTCTTTTTGCTCTTCATCTTTTTTTTTTCTTTGAAACTGTAAGGTAAAGTAATTTCATTAATAATCTTAAAACCATACAACTATGGAACCCTGTACAAAGAGAATTGGTACAAGAGGAAAGAACCAATATACCTGGTACAACCAGCCCCAAACCAAAAAGACTATAAGCTCCTTACAAAGAGGAATTGATCAAAAAAAGAACATAAATGTCTGTTTTTGAACAATGGGAGATTTTCCAACCAGGAATGCACCATTCCCTAAATCCGTCTATACACCTCTTCTTTTGTACTTTGTCTCCCTTCAAAAATTCTACTATTTCTTTTGCACCACACTACACAAATCCAACAGTCTTATCCAAATCCAGTAAGTAAAACCACAATGTAGCAACAAATGGCTAGAAGATTCCACACTTCCATTGCGTAGTGTGCAAGCCATATCTGCCACCTTTGTACCCCTCTTCTAACTAAACTGTCCCTAATTAGGGATCTTGTCCAGAACCGCAGACCAAAAAAAAAGAACAGTTTAGATGGTGTTAATATCGACTATGTAGGGGTATTTTTGTCTTTATGCTTATGTTTAAGTTGTTGATGTGTAAAGTTATGTTAGATCTTATGTCCCTCACTTAAGCAGGGGCAAAGGTGTCATTTCCAGATTAATAGAAATATAAAAACAAATCTGGCCAAATGGGAGAGACTGATTTTCGCTCTTATTCGAACCAGAACTTTCTCTCCTATTCTCTTCTCTTCTTCTTCTTCTTCTTCTTCTTCTTCTTCTTCTTCTTCTTCTTCTTCTCTCTCTTTTCCTCTTTCTTTTATTTTTGTTGTTATCACTCTAACAGATTTCAAGGGCAGACCAAATTCTAATATGGTATTAGAGCCAAACTGAGCAAATCGAAACTGCCCAGAATTCTCTTCTTTGCGCACCCAGTCTAAGGTTTTCTCTTGTTTTCTTCGCCATCAATTGGAGATAAGGGAAAGGGCTGAAAAGGAGTGATCGCCCTCTTCCCTTGGAGGTTTCTATGCCTCCAGTCGTGCAGTTCGTGGTTGGTTGTTGTGGTTTGTGAGAAGCCCTCCCGTAATCGATGAAGGGAAGAGGGCTGATTCGTGTGATGCAGTGGGTGCCTAGTGTAGTCTGATTTTCTGGTGATTAGGTAAGAGGTTTCTATGCAGTTTTTTGTTGTGAACCAAATGATAAGTTTGTTTCAGATTGTATGGTGATTCGAAGGGGGAGTGTGTTAGGGTTTATGCAAGTTTCAGTGTGATTCGAAGGGGGAGTGATCCTCAAACAGTGTGGTGAGTTTTCAGGCAGTCGTGTGGTAGGGTTGTGGTGTAGAGAGTGCAGTTTTCAGCAATAATAAGTGCTGAAAACAGTGTTGTTCAGTGTGTAGTGTGGTTTAGTGTGCAGTGTGCCGAATTCAGCAATAACAGAGTTCAGCAATGGGAGACAACAGTGACAGTAAAACTAGTGTGGTGGTCCCTACTGACTACCTGAATGTTCAGATGACCTCTACTAAACTGAATGGAGAAAATTATGTACCTTGGGCTAAATCTGTAAAAGTCTTTCTTAAGGCAAAGAAGAAGGTGAAACACATAAAGGAGGAAAAACCCTCCACTAATTCTCATGAGTATAATGACTGGGAACAAGAAGATGCACAAATTATCACATGGTTATGGAATGGTATGGAACCCAAGATTAGTGTGAATTTCATGTTTCTTGATACTGCCAAGGAAGTGTGGGACCATGCTAAGAAGTTGTATTCGGGTCAAGACAACACAACTAGAGTATATCAGTTGTATCAGGAATACTTTAATTTGCAACAGGGTAATCAGAGTCTTGAGTAGTATTATGCTAGTATGAGAAACATTCATAATGAGTTGAATGTTTATCACCCCCTCCTCACCTCTGATGTCAAAATTCAGCAACAGCAGAAAGAGCAACTAGATGTGACTTGATTTTTCATGGGGCTGAAATCTGAATATGAACCAGTGCAGGCTTAGATACTAGGAGGATCAGCTATCTCTTCCTTAAAAGAGGTGTTTGTTCAACCTAGGAGGATTTCTATTGGATCTACCGAGAACTCTAGTGTTTCCGGCAGATCAGCCTTTGTAGTATCAAGGGGCCGTGGTGTTGGAGGTGGAGCTCGAGGAGCTCAGTCTGGCTGTAGTGGTAGCAATGGACCAATATATGGTCGTAGTGGTGGTGGTGGACCTACATATAACCGTGGTGGTCGTCGTACTAGAGGTCGAGATTCAGGGGGAATCCGTGGCAAAGGATGTAGTTCGGGTTCGAGGAGATGTACACATTGTGGTATGGACGGACATACCATTAATTATTGCTATGATTTGCATGGTCCACCTTCAACTTGGGACAATCATGCCATGACCAGTGACAGTAGCTTCAGACAGGAGAGTCATTCAGCTAATCAGATGCTATCTACATCCACAGATGTTCCCGGGAAGGAGATGATGAGTGTTCCCCGTGATGAGTATGAGAGGTTTGTCTAGGCCACACCTCAACAGAACACAGCCACTCTTGCACACTCAGGTATGGCTTGTYTAGCATCCACACCCAATCCCTGGACTATTGACTATGGAGCCTCCGATCACATGACTGGAACTCCAAGTGTGTTTTCTTCCCTCTCTCATTGCCCAACATCACAATATGTTACTCTTGCAAATGGTTCCACATCCTCCATTTGTGGTGTTGGTAATGTTAACATGGACCCTTTACCCTTATCATCAGTTTTGTATGTCCCTAAATTTCCATTTAACCTTATGTCAGTTAGTAAGTTGACCAAGTCTCTTAATTGCATTATTACTTTTTACCCTTCGTGTGTTTTTCAGGATCTCAAAACGGGGATGAAGATTGGTGGAGGGCATGAAGCTGGTGGATTGTATTATCTTGACAGTGGTGGAAGTACGTCAACAGCTCTCCAGTCATCTCTTTCTCCTCTCCAGTGGCACTATCGATTTGCTCATCCTTCGCTGAAAGTTCTAAACTCTCTGGTTCCTTCGTTGAGACATCTTTCTATTTTGGATTGTGAATCGTGTCAGTTAGGGAAACATCATCGTGTTCCCTTTAGTCCTAGGGTTGATAAACATATGTTGAGTCCTTTTTCTTTGGTTCATTCAGATGTTTGGGGTCCTTATAAAGTAATGTCATACAATAGATATAAATACTGTCATTTTTGTTGATGATTATTCAAGGATGGTGTGGCTTTATTTAATGAAAGAAAGGAGTGAATTGTTTGCCATTTTCCAAAAGTTTTATGCTGAAATTCGCAACCAATTTGGTGTCCACATTAAAATTTTCCGTTCCGATAATGGCCGTGAATATTTCTCTACATCATTTCAAGAATATTTGGACCAACATGGCATTATTCATCAAACTTCATGTACCTACACCCCACAACAAAATGGGGTGGCAGAGAGAGAATCGTCATCTTTTGGAAACTGCTCGATCCCTCATGCACCACATGAATGTACCCAAACCTTTTTGGAGTGATGCGGTGCTTACTTCTTGCTTCCTGATTAACCGAATGCCCACATCTATCCTTGATGGTCATTCTCCATTCACCACTTTGTTTCCTACCTTGTCTCTGTTTCCTCTTTCTCCTCGGGTTTTTGGGTGTGTCTGTTTCGTTCATAATCTAGAGCCAGGAAGGGACAAGTTAGATGCACAGTCCATTAAGTACATCTTCCTTGGCTTATTCCTGGACTCAGAAAGGGTATAAGTATTATCATCCTAGCTCTCGACGTTCCTTTGTGTGTGTTGATGCTACTTTCTTTGAGTCTACTCCGTTTTTCTTGGGGTCAAGTGATGTTTCTTCCTCCTCATCACCTCCTCCTCTTCCTCTTCCAGTTGCAAATCTGTTCCTCTTGTTCCAGCTGTGACCAAGTCCTTGTCTCCAGTGCCACCACCTGTTGAACGGCCACCTATTCGTCAAGTGTATACACATCGCCAACATGTACCAACTCCTCCTCCAGCTCCATCATCGTCAACAGATCCAGCAATTGTCCCCACACCAGCCCCAACCCTAGTATCTAAACTTGATCTTCCCATTGCCTTGCGGAAAGGTAAACGCAGTTGTACCATTCATCCTATTTCTAATTATGTTTCTCACTCACCTTTCTGCTTCCCATCACCAGTTTATCTCCTTGTTATCCTCTGTTGTTGTCCCTAAGGATGTCCAGGAAGCCCTTGACTCTCCAAGGTGGCGCCATGCAATGGAAGAAGAATTCTCAGCTCTAACTCATAATCATACATGGGACCTCACCACTCTTCCTCCTAGTAAGCAGGTTGTCGGTTGTAAGTGGGTTTGTACTGTTAAGTACTTACC